GATTGTTCCCGTTGCCATCCCTACCCAGGTCCTCACTTCCCTGTAGCCTTCACGGTTCAATAAAGACTCTTGTAAAAAGTTCCCTGGTGTGTTGCGTCAGGATTTGGGTCCATTCCCTGTGCGAACCTTTGGTTCATGGCAACTATACTTTATTTTGGATGTAAATACTGTGTACTCCATGTCATTTATGTTAAAAGGTTCATTTGATTATTATTCATTATTCATGCATCCCAACAGTATTTAGTAACAGAATGGTGGTGTCTTTTTCCCCTGCCTTTCATCTCTGGCTGTACAGTATACACAATACACTATACATCTATTAATATTACTAATGATGATAAATAAATAAACACTAAAGTAAAAAGCTTTTCCTACATAAAAAAGTAAATTGGCTAACAAGAGCAGACTATAGAGAGTTCATAGAGCTCTTCTTGGATAAGTAAATGTTTTTGGCACAACAGTGGATTCAAATCATGACAGGGCAGGTTTTCCTGTCTTCATATAAGTTGATGGTTTTGCCACAGTAAAGTACATGTCACTGCTCAATCTTGCTGAGTCACGTAACAGGACAAATAAACGGTGCACCATTAAAGGCTTTCAACTGTCTTACAGATTTATTGTCAAAATGTTATCTTTTAGCGCCTCTTTATTTGACCTGGAAAATGCCCTTAACCATTTCGTCTCCCCACAGTAATTCTTAAGTACAAAAAGAGCCTTCACACCTAAAATCCCAGGACCAGATCTGTTCCACCTATTCAAGTCCTACTTACTCATTTTTCAAACTTCACTGAGAGTTTTTACTGAGAACAAGTAGTGTAAATACACATCTTAATACTGCAAAAAACATGGAAAGCTCAAAAACGAAAGTCCAAAAACTGCTACAGGTGTTTTATATTTAATAAGTTTTCTGTGGGTGTGTGCAACTTCCCTCACTAGTGATTTGCGATACCACTGATTTCCTTTCTGATCCGATACCAAGTAAAATTCACGGTAGTATCAACGATACTGATCCAATACTGATACTCTGTACAAAAACTTAATGTTTCATTGTATTTCATAATACAATATATAATTGTATTATGGTAAATGGCCTGTATTTGTATAGCGCTTTACTTAGTCCCTAAGGACCCCAAAGCGCTTTACAATACATTCAGTCATCCACCCATTCACACACAGGTGA